TTCTGAAATTGCAAAAAGTTTCTTTGGATTATTGTATCAGAGAGGTAGACATAGGTTTGGAATGATTTGGTTTTCAATAATTTGGAGCATTGGATGCTTTTTTTTTCTAACATGCCATCACTCAGACAGTAAAAAAAAGACTGAATAACTCACACTCCACCACACACACACTTCGAGACCCCCCCCACCACACACACACGCACACCACACACGTACTACCCTATTCCCGAATCCTCTCAGTCTCTCTCGAATCCTCTCAGTCTCGATCTTTCATTTCCCACTCCACTACCCTATTCCCGAATCCTCTCAGTCTCTCTCTCTCTCTCTTCTCTCTCTGAGGTCGGTCTGAGCCTTCGTTCTCACCGAGAAGTTCTCAGTCTTCTCCCTCCCCTTCCCCCTTCTCCACTTCTTCCACACACACACACACAGAGACATCATCACCGAGAAAGTTCTCAGTCCTCGTCCGTGTCTCCGTGTCTCCGTGTCTCCCTGTCTCCCTCTGCTCCTCCCATCTCACCCGCCCTAAACCCAGCCGTCGACACCACTCCTTAACCGTCCGTGTCTCCGTGTCTCCCTGTCTCCCTCTGTCTCCGTAGTCCAAGCCGTCGACACCACTGAGGACCACGAACTTGTCCCAGCCGTCTTGGATTCGTGAGGATTTTAGGGATGTTGCAATTTTTCTGCATGTTGCACACCTTTGTTACTTTAAATTTTTGTAAAGATTTCAATTTTTCTGCATGTTGCACACCTTTGTTGTACTGAAATTGATTTTATGGATTTAGGAATTAGGGTTCTATTTTTGTACAGATTGCTATTTATCTGCATGTTGCTTGATTTTTGTACTGAAATAGATTTTAGGGATTTAGGAATTAGGGATTCAGTTCAGTTGCTTTGAATCCGAATTTGGGGATTTAGGGATCGGTTCATTTGCTTTGATTTTTGTACTCAAATCGTTCTTCTCGGCTTGTAAACATGTTGATTTTTGTAATGAAATCGTTCTTGTCGGAATCCTGTATTGTAGATTCAGTTCATTAGGCTGGAAATTAGCATTTGGGGATTTAGGGTTTCGGATTATTTGCTCCGGCCGTGTTCTCCGACGAGTCCATACCAAATATCGCGATAGTTTCGAAAATATCGCGATATTATCGATAATATCGATAATATCGCGATATTATGCCGAAAACTAGTTGGATAGTTACTAAAATATCGGGGTCCCCAAAAAACGATAATATCGGCGATATTTCGCCGATATTATCGATATTTTCTACTGTGCTAACAAGTAACAACAATGTAAATTGTAATTTTCTAAAATAAACATGAATTTTGTTATGTGCTATGCAGGTTATGATGCCCAACTTAACAACCTTGACTGTGCATCAATGTGATAGTTTAAGATTCTTGTTTTCGAGTTCCATGGCTAAATGTCTCAGACAACTCAAAAATCTCAAGATATCGAATTGTCAAATTATGGAAGAGATAGTCGGAAATGAGGAGAATACATATGATATGTTTGATAAGCTAAGTCGTCTAGAGTTACAACATCTTCCAAGCCTTGCTAGATTCAGCTCAGGAAGTTACATTAAATTTCCATCTTTGGTGTTTTGGATCTAGACGATTGTACTAAACTGGAGACATTCATCTTTGATGCCAAGAGTGAAAATATTACAACCAACAAAGAAGAAAGAGATATTGAGCTCTTTGATGAAAAGGTGAATTATAACTTCACTTCTTTTCTTTATGCTTTCATTTCCAACTTATGCATGCGTCCCACTCTTTCTAAAATGAATATGTGACAGGTAGAATTTCCTAGCTTGGAGATATTGTGGATACAAGACTTATTTAAATTGAAGACAATATTCCACAACCAACTACATTCAGATTCTTTTGGCAAGCTCAGAATTATGGATGTTAATAGGTGCCACAATTTGATTAATATCTTTGGGCCAAGTATCATGGGAAGATTGAATGCTCTAGAGTCCTTATATATAAAGCAATGCCAGTCACTACAAGTAGTATATGACTCATCATCTACCGCTCAGTTGAACAGTTTTGATTGCCCAAATCTAAATTTAGTTGAGATATCCTCATGTGAGAGTTTGAAGAATTTATTTCCCGTCTCAGTAGCCAAAAATCTTAAGCAGCTAAGCAAGTTCAAGGTCGAGAATTGTGGTTTAATGGAGGAAATTGTCACGATGGAAGAAGGACCAAAAAGGACACATGAGGAGTTCAGGTTCCCTAAAGTAGAAATAGTGATATTTGAAAATCTACCCCGGCTTCGGAGTTTCTATCATGGACTGCATGTCTCTAATTGGCCATTACTCAACGAATTGAGCTTCATTGAATGTGGTAGTGTGGAGATTTTTTCTTCTAAATTTTCAACATATCACGACAAACTTGAGTTGAGACACCCAACACCAATGAAACAGCCTTTCTTTTTAATTGACAAGGTAAGCATACTTGTACACAATTTTTTTAAGTATAATTAGATTGTCATCCTTGAATATGATGCGTTTCTCATTAAAACCACCAATTCTTGATATTAAGATTTATTTTTTCAATAAGCCAAAGAGAGATTATATTCACACCTCAAATTACTTGTCCCACATTTTTTTTCTTTTTAACATTTTTGACACACCACTAACACTTGATAGAAAAATATTAAAAAATTAAAAAGGTGTGGGGAAGTAATTTGGGAAATTTAGAAAAGTAGCCAAAATTTTGACCATAAATTAAATTATAACCAACTATTATAAATTTTTATAATGCTAACCAAAATTTGACATGAAAAATACTAAAATCCTTTTACTATAGTATTTTTATGTTAAATTCAACGAATTTTGCAACAAAGGAAATTTCAGGGGAGACGCTTATTTTCACAAATCTGACAGGCCAAAAGGGATTTATTCTTCAATCTTCCCAAATTGGTCGTCCCATATTCTTTGAAGGAGCAATCAAATTGAAGGGCGAGGCTTTTGGGTTTGATTCATGAATTTAAAGTGTGAAGGAGATGCAATTGATATTGCTGCTATTGTGTTTGGGGAAGTGAGAGAGAGGAGGATGAAAGGCTTCTTTTTCTTAACTTTTGCTTTTATTTGTATTTAATTTTATTGAGAGTTGATAGGGTTATGTTAGGTTTAAGTTTGTGCACAGGTGTCAAGTATTGAGATGTGTCATAAAGATGCTACTTATTTTAACTGTAAAAAATTTGAAACCGGCTCTAACTATCAGGATAATTCACAACTTGCCACTTGCCACTAAAGACCGTTCACAATAATGTGTTTTTGGTATTAATTTAAATAAGATAGGTTTTTTTTTGTAAAAAATAAAATAGTTTAAATTTGAAATTAAATTGACATAATTTTGGCCCTATATTTATTTTTCCAGATAATTTTTACTCCAATTTGTTCTTTGCGAATTAATGAAGGTACAAGGACATATATTTGTTCAGTAGCCTAGTAGCTTACTTTTTAAATATATGATATTTACTTTATATCTACACATTTTGGAATGTATACGGCTAACAATAATATAAATTGTAATTTCCTAATACAAACATGAATTCTGTTATGTGCTATGCAGGTTATGATGCCCAACTTAACAACCTTGACTGTGCATCAATGTGATAGTTTAAGATTCTTGTTTTCGAGTTCCATGGCTAAATGTCTCAGACAATTCAAAAATCTCAAGATATCCAATTGTCAAATCATGGAAGAGATAGTGAGAAATGAGGAGAATACAGATGATATGTTTGATAAGCTAAACCGTCTAGAGTTACAACATCTTCCAAATCTCACTAGATTTAGCTCAGGAAGTTACATTAAATTTCCGTCTTTGGCGTATTTGGATCTAGACGATTGTACTAAACTGAAGACTTTCATCTTTGATGCTAAGAGTGAAAATATTACAACCAACAAAGAAGAAAGAGATATTGAGCTCTTTGATGAAAAGGTGAATTATACCTTCACTTGTTTCTTTAAGCTTTTGTTTCCAACTTATGCATGTGTCCCACTCTTGTGAAAAAAGGTTTGTTCACAAATTCTAAATGAATATGTGACAGGTAGGATTTCCTAGCTTGGATACGTTGTACATATGGGACTTACCTAAGTTGAAGACAATATTCCACAACCAACTTCATTCAGATTCTTTTAGCAAGCTTAGAATTATGGATGTTCGTAGATGCCACAGTCTGATTAATATCTTTGGGCCAAGTATCATGGGAAGATTAAATGCTCTAGAGACATTACAAATAAAGCAGTGCCAATCACTACAAGTGGTATATGACACATCATCTACCACTCAGTTGAACTGTTTTGAATTCTCTAAAGTAACATGTATGATGTTTGAAGATCTACCTCAACTACAGAGTTTCTATCCAGGGCTGCATGTTTCTAATTGGCCATTACTCAATACATTAAATTTCAAGAAATGTGCTAATGTGGAGATTTTTGCTTCTGAATCTTCAACATATCAAGACAAACTTGAGTTGGGCCATCCGACACCAATGAAACAGCCTTTCTTTTTAATTGAGAAGGTAACCAACACAATTCTTTTGATATTCGAATTTTGTGTGATTTTTACATACTAGTTAAACAAACACATCAAGTAAATATATTTATTAAGTTTTTAATATTAAAGTTATTATGTGGTGTCCAATTTTTCAAAATATTTTAAAGCATGTCATTACTGTTGATTATATTTTAGGGTAAGTCATTCATCAACTTGGAATACTTGATGTTGGACGAGAACACAGAGATTTGGTATGAGCCGTATGGTCCACTTCCGGCAGAGTTGTTAAGCAAAATAAAATCGATTTATTTTGCTACTTCACATCCCAAGTCAGATGTTTTCTTTGAGAATTTACAGAATATTGAAAACCTCGGTGTTCTCTCTGCTCCTTGGAAAGAATTAATTGTCCACAACCACCAAGGAAGTAGTAGCGGGGAAATACATGAAGCTGAGACCTTCCCACGTGTAAAGACTTTGTGGCTCATCGGTATGCCGGAGCTGATACATCTAGGAATGGAAAACTCCGAACCAGGGGTCCCTGTTTTTCCAAACTTGGAAATTCTATGTCTGCAAAAATGTGGCAGATTAGAGAATCTAGCTTCAACTTTGATATCCTTTCGGAATCTAACCAGTTTGGCCATACGGTTTTGTCATGGACTGCAATACTTAATACCTTATTCTGTGGCGAAGAATTTGCAGCAACTCAAGGAGTTCGAAGTTGAGTCCTGTGAAAGAATGGTTGAAATAGTAGTGAGCAACAGAGATGATCCAGAAAATGAGATTACTTTCAGTTGCTTGCAACATTTGAAACTTTTTGATCTACCAAGTCTGCAAGGATTTTGCACTGGAAATTACATTTTCAAGGTCCCATCCTTACCGTCCAACAATTTGATTGTCGAGAAGTGCCCGTTGATTGAGTTAACGATTTCTCTTGATGGGTTACTCCAAAGTGATCCAAGACCAGAAAGACTACAAATAGCAGAGGAAACTGATGATGTACAAAAGCTAGGTGATTCAAAGGAGAATGAAAGTGATCAAATCGTAAGTTCTTCATTCACTAATTAAGCATCTGTTAATTTCACTCTCCAATTTTTCAGCTTTTTCCGAACCTTGTAGTCAAATTTAAAAGTTTGATTTATTCATCTTATTCATAGTTGTTCAGTCAGATTTCATACTGAATAGTTTATGTGTTTATTTATAATTGTCCACTAAATATATATTTCTACAGGAGCAGCTGGTGATCGCGGATTCAAATGTAGATGTTACAATTGCAAGACTCTCTGCCAAAAAGGAATCCTCATCTTTTGCCTGGCGTGTTAAGGTTTTCCGATTGTGTGCGATTGCATGTTCGTGTGTTATTTTCCTCTTCCTTCTGTTTTTTTTTTTAAAGGAAGAAATATCAGCCTGGAAAGCAGACTGGAAGGCACTCTGATATGTTGGACCACACTACACATTCCACGGAAATCACATTGGTTTGTTCAAATGTTTAATGGTTAAAACTATGCTACCTGGAGTCAAAGGAAATGCGCATTGGAGATCCTAGAGGATGCACGCTTTCTTGGCTTTGGCGTTATTGTGGTTGCTACTTTCATTATACTCAAGTTTTCTTGTTACTTACTCTAACTATTCTCTGTTCTCCCCTCAACGGTCTGTGCCCAACCTTGCTTCCCTGGCTGATCTCATCTTGTTTAATATAAGCATGCAAGCTGCGGCTTCAATGAAAAGCTGTCCCAGAAACTTGTGCAATTTGGGAAGGCACTGATGCATATTCCATGTCATGTTATGCTTGTTTTGACTCATGTGTTTCGCCGTAAAAGTGTGATTTGTATTTGAAGCCTTGTTCGCTACACTTTCAGTTTTGGTGTTTGGGAAATAAAGCTTGTGTGTTTTATGTAAACATTGATGCATTTGAAGTGGTGCTTGTGTGCACGTCTACTGAAACAGCTTTATCCTTGAATTGGTACTCATTTTATTGCTTCTTGTGATACATGAAAAATATCATTTCCAATCATCTTCTTAAGAGCATCTCCATTGAGGACTAGAATGTAGAGAGGACTCGTAGTTACTGTAGTTTTAGCCCACGTGTTGCCGCGGGAATGTCAAATGAATTATAAATAGTGTATGTGTTAAAATAATGTACTAAACCAGAAATGCGCATAAAAGCTCATTGAATATTTCAAGGGAGTTTTAACAAAACGCTCCCGGTACTGTTCACTTTTAACGAAAAACCACATTTTTACCTTTAACTTGCACTATTCACTATACCTTTAAAAATGGCTTTTCGTTAAAAGAGAAGTTTTTTTGGATTTTTCGTTAGTTTTCCTATATTTCAATTCATTCTTGAATTCATTGCTCTTGATGAGAACCAGTTTGTTGGTACACTCTGACCACAGTGGGGAAAATGTGTATGGTTGAAATAAAATTACAGGTCCAATCCCACCTGAGCTCGGACAAATGACAAAACAGCAGCTTCTAAACTTGAGCCAGATCCACTTGACTGGTGAAATACCGGCACAGATTGGTAAATTACTCCAGAGTTACAACTTGGACCCAGCAATTCTCTCTCCAGAGTGATACCTTCAGACTTGGAACATCTCACAAATTTATAGGTTCTCAGTGTCTCACGCAACCATCTCTCAAGGGAAATCCCTACAACAATTCTGAAAATGGTGAGTGTGGATACCTATGACTTTTCATATAACAACTTGACAGGTCCAAATCCCAAATTGCGTCATTTTCCTAAAGGACATTCCAATTTCTCAAAATCTTAAATCCAACTACAACTCTCAATGCCCAAATGGCCACATATGAGAAACCAAAATAGAGCCTTAAAAGAAACAGAAGAAAGGTACTGTTTGACTCCTACAGTAATGATTTACCTTTTGTTTTGGCAAAAGTTTCCCATTTTGTTGGAGGTTTAGACACTAGCAGCTATAGAAAACAAAAGAATGTCATTGGCAGTCTGACGTTTATGCTAAGAATACAATAGCAACTCTTAAATCAGTTACAGAAAAAAACCAACAGCATCAACAACCTTTTTGCATACACTAACATTTTAGTCAACCAATTTACATGATAGGAACTCAAAATTGGCAGCACAACAAAAGGGGATCAACAAAAATCTCGGCAATTACCTGAAACTACCATTCCACTTCTTTTCAATTGTGAAGCACTATACATGTATTCACTATCAAATGCTCATATACATGATCAAACCTATAAAAAAACATCATTGGAGAATCGTAAACCTCTCTTTGTTAAATCTCGACCATTGCCATCTTTCTACAATGGAGGGAAGGAGTAATTTTGAGAGCTTGAAGAAAAAAGATTCTTATGCAAGTTATCTCACAGTGGACTTGGGGTGCAGAATGAGATGGATATTGAGCATCACTAAAAATAATATCGGGCCATAAAGAGATTAACTAAAGGTGGTAAGAATAGATTGGTATCAAACTTATCAATCATCATTCACGAAGTTAGAACCTAAGACTCCTTGCTTACAAAAATGTCGTACCCAGTGCACAAGGTTCCCGCTTTACGCAGGGTCTGAGAGAGGTGAATGTCGGCTAGCCTTACCCCCATTTATGGAGAGGCTGCTCCCAAGAAAAATACAACTAGACCGTATTATTGAATAGCAACTCATCCGACTTCGTTTTAATACGGTAAACCACACTTATTTCACTTATCTTCATTTGTCCTCTAATTTCATTTCACAACACAACTTTGCAATTTCTGTTGTCGTTCTCCTTGCTTACAAATGAAGAAAAATACAACTAGACCGTATTATTGAATAGCAACTCATCCGACTTCGTTTTAATACGGTAAACCACACTTATTTCACTTATCTTCATTTGTCCTCTAATTTCATTTCACAACACAACTTTGCAATTTCTGTTGTCGTTCACCTTCACTTTGCTTTTACTTTGCCGTTACTCTCACTCTCACAAGTTACATACTCTCTTCTTCTTTGCCGTTCGTCTCCCTCTCACGAGCTAAGGTATGTCTTTTGTTTCATTATTCAATGTCAATCACATTTTATTCTTGTCTTTCCATTTTTCATTTTATTTTGTTGCATAAATTTCTAGATTTTTTCCATGTTTTTGGCTTCGTTTATGTTCAACAGATACATTACTAAACTGAAAGTGGCATGTTGTTTTGTCTTACCTTCATTTATTCCCAAGGTCGTTGGAAAAATAATTGAGTACACAGTTGTTCCAGTTGGACGTCAAGTGGGATACCTGATTCACTACAAAAGCAACCTTCAAACCTAAGGAGTCACTTGAACTCATGCTCCATTTGTCCTTTAATTTGATGCCAAACAGGTTTTCAGACAAGCTGCACAAGATAAGTTATATGATGATGTGGTTATAATACTGAATGTCAATGAAAAAGAAGACCTGGAGAAAATTCAGAAACAAATTGCAGAAAAGTTCGGTATGCACATTGATGAATCTGAGAGAAGGGTAAATTGTTTATGGGACAGGATAAAAGACAAGAACACTTGTTATTTTAGATGATGTTTTGGGAAGAATTCATTTGGACCTTGTGGGACTTCGCCGGGCACCGGCTTGTAATTTACTTTTGACATCTAGAGAGCGAAATGTGTATATGAGATGCATACCCAAAAAGATTTTCAGCTTGACTTTGCGAAGAAGAATCGCGGAGAGATGAAAGAGCTCAAAGTGTTGGATTTAACTGTGCTTCATTTTCCATCATTATCTCCATCTCTTAAATACCTACCAATTCTTCAAACATTGTGCTTAGATCAGTGCGTGTTGGGGGATATTGTTCTAGTTGGAGAGCTAAGAAACTTGAAAATTCTTAGCCTTGCCTTGCCCACTCCCAGGTTAAAGAGTTGCATGATGAAACAGAGCAACTGACTCGTCTACAATTAGATTTGAGTGGTTTCTCTGAGATTGTACTGATTCCACCTAATGTTTCATCAAGCTTGAAAAGACTAGAAGACTTGAGAATGGGAACAAACAGCATTGAGCAATGGGAGGGTGGAAGGTCTGATCGATGGAAGAAATAATGTTCCTGATGCTGAAGCACTTGTCTCAGCTAACTGCATTAAACATACATGTTCCAGATGCTAACCTTCTTCCGAACAACATGTTCTCGGATAAGTTGAAAAGCTACACCATCCATGTTGGTGATTGTTGGCTATATCTTTCCAAATTTGGAGTCACTATCTCTTTATAACCTTGTTAGTTTTGAAAATTACCATCTCTGACGTTGTGGAATCTACCAAAGTTTATTGGTTTCTCTCCAACCGCAGCACCTCTGTTGTAACTGCAAGGATTCAAAAACAACTAACAACATATACAAAAGCCAAAGAAATCATTATGGTGAATGAAACTGCCAGGCTTACGGAACTTTGATGGTTTTAGATTTTGTTCCATGGCTAGAAGTCTTGTACAACTCAAACATCTTGAGGTATCCAAATTCAGAAAATGGAAGAGATTGTAGCAAACGAAGAATATAGTGATGTAAATATGGATAACATGTTTTGCAAGCTAAAACATCTACAACTGCAATATCTCCTGCCAGATTCTGCTCAGGAAGTTATATTTATTGAACTTCCGTCTTTGAAGCTGTTGCATCTAGAAGATTGTCTTAAACTGAGGGCATTCATATTTGATGGTAAGAGTGAAAGTATTACAAAACACAAAGAAACTGAAGAGAAGGGATGGAAGAAGAATCTTGAGACTGCCGTACAATATTTTCTTTTCAAAGAAAAGGTATGTTATTCATGCATTTCTCTTTCTTTATGGGAAGATTGAATAATCTAGACACCTTGGAGATATGGCAATGCCAGTCACCACTATCTCCCACCACCAACGCCACCATCACCACCACCAACACCACTCTAGCCACAAACACCATCGCCACCCCCATTGTTACTATCTTAAAATTTATATTACAAAAACTTTACTACCAAACACAAATTTACTAGTTTTTGACATTTTAGATATGGGCACTAGACACTCAACGAGCGAATTGATCTTCATTTCATTTTCTGCTGGGCTCAAAGTGTGCAGGTATGATGTTTGTTAAAATGTCTCAGTGAAATTCAAAGCAAATCATACATGTTTGCATGTTTCTAAGCTCGATACCAAGCAAATTTTTGGATTATAAAAATTGTTTTCAGAAAGTCGTTCATCATTTTTTTTAGTCTTTGTTGTTTGATGATCAAGAAACATCCGTTTCATAGCATAATTTCTACTTTGCAAGTGCTGTATAACCCGACTTTTTCTTCTACTATGCAGTTGTGTCCAGAATAAGCTTAGTAAAAAAAGAAATAGCAAAGCAAAAAGGGTTGCATACTTCTCTGTTTCCCTTCAGTTCCTCTTGCTCCCTCCATAGATCCTGCGGAAGGTACCAACACCAAGACCACTCGTCAAGTAGATTTTCCTTGCCATGGATGCAGATCGAATGTAGTACCAATCAGGCTCATATGCTGCAAGCTCCTTGAATGTGGCCGTCTTCACAATGTCAGTCCAGTCAGGAAGCTCAATTCGGCCGGAGCGCTTCAGAAATTTGAAATTAGACGTTTAAGTGAAATTATTCAAAACTCCCATCTTTACTATTAACTCAATTGAACCTTTAAATCCCTAAAAAGTTAGGAATTATGTTAAATTAGAAACGGGGCATGAATTGAAATCCTAAGATCCCTACAAAAATTCATCAACTAAAAACCCATCAACATTGATTTCTCAAATCTAAAATCACAATATTAGAATTCAGAAACAATCTTATAAATTAATTTACAAGAAAAAGGAAAAGAAGAAAAAGAAGTAGTGAATAAGGACTTACAGTTGCCCGAGGAAGGACGGAAGGCCGGTGGAGGGCGGAGCTGGGACGCCGGCAGCGTAGACTAGAGGGAGGAGCTGCCGATTTGTACTGAGACTTGTGCAGCCGAGGGAAACCAACGACAGCACAGTATATAACCAAACGTTCCTCTTCGGTCTGGCTTGAAAGGAAATCAGAGAGGACTGAGGAGGGTAGGATTTTTATGATATTTGGTATTTATATCAGCATTTTAAGAAGTTTAAGTGTATTTAATTATGAATTGATTCTAGAAACTTTTAAAAAGTTGAGGAATTTTATGATATTAGAGATATTTCGTAGTGTATTTTAAGAATTCATAAATCTCACATTTTTCTTGAGATTTCGAGAGAATTAAGTTAAACTTTTACATAGAATTTTAACAAACCAATTAAACTGTAGATATCGAAATTTCGGTAAATAAATGTTGACCGATAAATCAAAGTTTCGACCCTCATGTATTACATAAATTTTACACGTAGCGTATGTCTAAACAAAAATCGAAATAAGTTAGAAAAGTCATCAAATAAAACACGTGTCAACACCTGGCAGGAACGACTTATTTCATCTGGAATATTATATTCAAAATTAGGCATTGGAAATTTCTATAAATAGAAGGTTAATTCATTCATTCAAGGGGACCAATTCACATGACACCTTGAAGCTCTGAAGCTCTGAAACTCCGAAGCTCTCAAGCATCCAGGTTCCCGAAGAATCAAGAAAGTGTTCTTCGTTCTTCGTTCATCGTTCTTCCAAGATCAAGCCACGACGACCCTTGAAGAAAGTGTTCTTCGTTCTTCGTTCATTGTTCTTCCAAGATCAAGCCCCAACGGTCCTTTGGATCAACAATCATCCACCAATTCAAGATCAAGCCCCGACGGCCCTTGAAGAAAGTGTTTTTCGTTCATCGTTCATCATCCGTTCATCCTAAGATCAAGCCCCAACGGCCCTTTGGATCAACAATATCAACAAATCCACACATCTAACCGTTCTTCAAGATCAAGCCCAAAAGCCCTTGAAGATCCGTTCATCCATCAACCTTCAAGATCAAGCCTAAAAGCCCTTGAAGATCCGTTCATCACCGTTATTCAAGGTCAAGCCTCAACGGCCCTTGAAGAAATGCTCATCCTCAAGATCAAGCCCCAAAAGCCCTTGAAGATCCGTTCATCACCGTTATTCAAGATCAAGCCTCAACGGCCCTTGAAGAAACGCTCATCCTCAAGATCAAGCCCCAACGGCTCCTGGATCAATCGCACATCCATAAATCAACACTTTACGGAGATCGAATTAGAGGATCAAATTTGAGAGAGATTGTAACCCCAAAATCATCAAATACAAAATATTTGTGTGCACGTTGTTCTTGTCTTTTTCGTTTCAGGAATTTTCTGTGTTCACAAATTGGCACGCTTAGTGGGACAATCTATGCCTCTCATCTCTTTCTCCGTTCAAGAAATTCAAGCGCACTTCCAAAATTAATGGCATCAAGGAAGGCTCAAACTGTTCCCGCAACCGGCGCAAAGAACATGAGCGTCCTCGTTGCAAGTGGTGTCACTTTGGGCATCACGACTCGAAGCATGGCAAGAGCTACTTCTGCCGCCTCTTTCACCTCTGCATTAACTCTGCCAAGGGAACAAGAGCACCCAAGGCACGAGCCTTTGATCACCTTAGCCTCACTAAGGGCACCAAGGGGGGAAAGCCCAAGGAAATACTCTGAATCCATGCTCTCCGATGCCGATTCAAGCGGTAGTTCAGCCATGCAAGTCATGACCATTGGAGCAACTTCAATCGATGAGCAGCTGGCTCAAATGAATGAAGCAATCGCAAGGCTAACCCGAACTGTGGAAGAAAAAGACTTGCAAATTGCAACACTAGTTAACCGACTAGAGGTGCAGGACGGCGAGAAACCCGACCCAGAGAATGATCCACTAAAGAGAGGAGATAGTGGAGAAGATGAGCCTCCGGTGGAGAGAATCGATGTGAAGCCAGAGCCAGACCAAGCAGCGGCATTCGTGGGATCTCTTTATATCCAGCAGCTGCAAGAGATGATCACGAACACCATCAGGGCACAATACGAAAGGAGCTCAAATACCTCCGGGTTGTACTCAAAGCCGTATTCAAAGAAGATTGACGCCTTAAAGATGCCGAGGGGTTATCAACCGCCAAAGTTCATGCAATTCGATGGAAAGGGAAACCCAAAACAGCACATTGCCCACTTTGTTGAAACTTGCAACAACGCAGGGACCGAAGGGGACTACCTCGCCAAGCAGTTTATACGCTCGCTGAAAGGAAACGCCTTTGAGTGGTACACGGACCTAGAGCCTGAGTCCATCAATAGCTCGGAGCAATTGGAGCGGGAATTCCTCAACCGCTTCTACAACATCTGCCACACTGTGAGCATGCTAAAGCTAACGAGCACAAAGCAGTGGAAGGATGAACCAGTCATTGACTACATTAACAGATGGCGCACTCTAAGCCTCGATTGTAAAGACAGGCTCTCGGAAACCTCTTCAATCGAGATGTGCATCCAAGGCATGCAATGGGGTTTGCAATACATCCTTCAAGGCATTAAACCACGGACCTTTGAAGAGCTAGCCACCCGCGCCCATGACATGGAGTTAAGCATCGCCCATCATGGGAAGAAGGAACTGATCGCCGACTACAAGAACGACAAAGTTCTTGAGATAAAGGCGGAAAAGGCTGCGTGGAAATCCACCAAGGCTTTTTGTGATCAAGAGATGCGTAGACGCACTTTGAAGGAGCTTGAGGATAAGACTTATCCATTCCCCGACTCTGATGTGGTTGCCATGCTGGATGACCTGTTGGACAAGAAGGTGATCGATTTGCCTGAGTGTAGACGGCCGGAATAAATGAATTATACCAACAGTCCAAGATACTGTAAATTCCATCGCTTTATCAGTCATCCGACAGAAAAGTGCTTCGTGCTGAAAGATCTCATCGTGAAGCTGGCTCAGAAAGGAATCATTGAGCTAGATCTTGACGATGTGGTGAAGTCAAACTATACCACCATCACTTCTGGCTTTTCGACTCAAGGTTTTTACCTCAACCGCTGGGGGCATCCTCCAAGACAAGCAAAGTTGAAGGATGGACTCAAGTTACTCATAAGAAATTGCACAAGAAGCATACGTCTCCTCCACAAGTCCGCCAATCGGAAAGGGGGCAAAGCAGCTTTTGTCAACCTTCAAAGCAACATGAACGTGTTGAAGATGATGAAATTTTGACATATAGATCGTCCATCCCCATCACGATGCTCGATTTCTTTCCTGAAGACTTCTTCAATCACTCAGTCAATGCTCCTTGCTATGAAGATTGCGAGGAACAACTCTCCCGAATCGCTTGACGAACCAACAAAGCTCCTTGTCTGCAAGAGCCTAAACTGCAAGACACAAGGCTTCTCGCCCGCACGAGCCTAAACTGCATGGCACAAAGCTCCTGGTCTGCACGAGCATAAAAGGCAACACCAACGCTCCTGGTCCGCACGAGCATAAAAGGCGACACCAAAACTCCTGGTCTGCACGAGCATAAAAGGCAACAACCAATGCTCTTTGTTCGCACGAGCCTAAACTGCATGAACCAAAGCTCCTGGCCCGCACGAGCATAAACTGTGTACGGCAAAATCATCATCAAAATCATTGTTAAATTTATTGCTCATTTGAACTACGTCATGACTTGATCCCTCCTCAACCGAGGGTACGTAGGCAACTTGAAACTTCAAAACTTCAAGTACAGTCACATCATCAAAAAAAAAAACATAAACGCTTTAAGGAATAAAGAGCAAATTCAAAATACGAATACTTTATTTCTTTAAAGGAACGAGTTAGCAGGCGGCATGGTTGGTGTGCACGGCGACATCACCTCCGAGGAAAGTTGTAACAAAAGGCACTACATAGCATAAACTCGCTGCAGTCTTTTGCACAACCCCACACAGTAAAAGTGACGTACTGGAACGAGCTCCGAACAGTAATAGCAGTGCATTCTGGGCACCATGATCAAAATCGATGAAGAACTTCAATAATCGCCGTCAAATGACTAGCCGATCATGAAGCTCGACACCTTACATTCTGCCTCAAGCTTCAGTAACTCTGCCATCTCTGCAGCTCTCCCCTTCTGCCCATCAGCTCCAAACAGTAACAACGAGCAGCAACGGCAAGCGGCAAGATCACAGTACCACACGGCAAAGGCACCACCGAGGGAAAACTGCGATCAAATGCACTACGCAGCAAATCCCCACTACAGACGCTTGCACAGCACCACACGGTAAAGGCACCACCGAGGGAAAATTATGATCAAAGGCACTACACAGCAAATCCCCGTTGCAGTCTTTTGGACAGTTACACCCACATCCTGCCCACTCCATCGCTAATTGCAAATTCACAAGAGGCTGCCACCAATTGTGAACATGGGTAATCTGTCAAAACAGCAAGGAAATCCATGAATGCAGTAAGCACATGTAGAAAAAAAAATTTGTATAAAAAAATTAAATTATAGTTTCTTCCCGATTAAATAAAATAAAAAAAAAGTCAATTTCATCACAATTTCTTGTACAAAAAAAAAATACATATGTTATAATGTATTATAAAATATATATATATATATATATATATAAAAAATAAATGATGGGCTAGATTGTTGAGGATGAAGCCAAAACCGTGAGCCCAGTGAGCACTCAACGGCTTGAAACCCAAAACCGTGAGTTCCTCCTCAAACAGAAGGAGCCCATCTTCAACCACTCCCTCGGCATCAACATCCAGGCCCAAATTCCCTCCCACTTCCTGTAAGCTTTCATCTCGACCAGGCTCATCGCAGCCATGCCATAGGAAACTTCTGAGAGTGGGTGTGCAGAGAGATTTATACTCTCTCTGACATAGCAAGGAAGCTCGACCAAGACTCCCCTCACCAACCCACTTCCTACTTGGTGCCATCATTCCTTCTTGAGTTATCACAATCCCACAAGAAAAAAATAAGAGCAGCAATGAGGGTTTGGATGAGCACTGTGGTGGTGGTGATGGCGGTGCTGCTGTTTGGACTTGGGGACTGCGCGGCGCCGGCTTCTGCGGTGGACTGCTCGAGCCTGATCTTGAACATGGTGGATTGCTTGTCATTTATGTCGAATGGGAGCACGGACACGAAGCCGGCAGAGACTTGCTGCAATAGCCTCAAGATTGTGCTCAAAACCGACGCTTCCTGCCTCTGTGAGACCTTCAAGAGCAGTGCTCAACTCGGCGTCATTTTGAACATCACCAAGGGCACCTCCCTCCCCGCCGCTAAAGTCAACCATCAAGGAACAAAGGGCAGTCGGTGTTTGAATTTTCAGAGGATAACTTCAGTGTCTCGTCAGCCTAGTCGGAGATGGTAGCGTTTCAAACAAAAAGCTGGGATCGTCTATCCTCTTGGCTCCCGTCTTCTCTTTATTCCAATGGGATTCTCGTCTTCAGAACCTCCCTCCACAGTAGCGAGCAAAGGACAACCATCGTCACAACAACTGCAAGTAGTCATGAGCAGAACTCTCCCTTCTTTGTCTCAGCCATGAAAGCCACCGCAACCTCCTCCTGTTTATCTCTGAAAAACAAGACAACGGCTAGATTCAAGTTAAGAACGCCATGAGAGCTGCATAGAACGAAGCCTTCACCACTGCGGGGTCGATCCCGAGCAGAAGCTGGTCACTAAGAGATTTGTCGTTGAAGAAGGCACTGGAAGACCATGAAGGATGCCAGCTTCCATTCGAACCTCATTTGTCACTGATTGCTGTGGCAGAGCTCCAAACCCCACAATAACTTTTCCCAGCCACGTCACCCTCTAAACAGCAACTTGCCCAAAGCCTCCGTGCTCTCCGTCCAAACTTCACGGCTATGCCCCCGCTGCTCCAGCTTCTGTGCATGCTTCATCCGTCATCCTCGCCTGCTCCCTGTAAGCTTCCACCCCTACGGCAGATGGCCGCCTTTCATCCCATGTAGCGAACATATATATATATATATATATATAATAATTTAAAAAAAATGGTGCGGTATGAGTGGTGGTGAGTGTGAGCACCACCGAAAGCAAAAAAAAAATTAAAAAAAAAAAAGAAAAAGTGATGACAGGCATCATTGATTGAAGGATGGTGCGGTATGAGTGGTGGTGAGTGTGAGCACCACCGAAAGCAAAGAAAAATAATAATAATTTAAAAAAAAAAAGAAGGTGATGACGGGCATCATTGATTGAAGGATTATGCCATGTATGGATATATTTGTTATATACAAGTAGTAATTTGGTGGGGTTTGAAACGCACATGGTGACAGACAACCCATATGCTGCCAGCCGCACCGACATACAAGAATAAATGAATAAATTAAAAAAACAAACAAACAAATGCATTAAGAAAAATAAAAGTCCATTTTATTTATTTTTTCTGGAAATTTTACATAAATTTGCATTATACATACCTAATAAAAAATAAAAAAATAAAAAAATAAAATAAAAAATAAAAAAAGTCAAATCAAATTTACAGGAGGGGATTTTCAAGGATGATCAGGTGGCGCCTCATCACTCGGCGGAACTCCAGGAAGAAGAGGAATCGAAGGTTGATCATTTGAAGCTTCATTACGCAGTACAGCCCCAGAAGACGAAGGCAAATGCTGTTGGAACAAACCCACAAACCGTTGATGATCAAGTAAAATCTGACTATTAGATTCTTGCATCTGGTCAATCTTCCTCTTCATGTTTGTCGCATAGCTATGTGCGAGCTTATGCAACTGTTTATTCTCCTGCTTGAGCCTTCTAATCTCCTGTTTGAGACTCATCACTTCAATCGCTAATGATTCAACTTGACGGGTTTGAGTAAATAGACGTTGGGCCATATTAGACACAGAACCTGCACACTGCACACTGAGAGCCAGAGAATCCTTAACAGCCAACTCATCAGACCGTTTGGAAAGTAGTCTGTTATCTTTGGGAGTGACAAGGTTCCTGGCCACCACCTCAGTGGTCATATCATTCTTCATCACCGAATCCCCAACGGTAAGAGGACCAGTAGGGGATATGAAGGATGAGCGCCATATGTTGTCTGGAGAAAGCGGGACTGCCTCTTCACCAAGGTTCAAGTCAAGACGACGGTCGGAGGGGCCAGACATTTTTCAAAAGTGTTGAAAGAAAGAAGAGATCAGACAAATCAAGATCTTAGAAGTGCAATAAGGGAGTTTCTACAAGTGAAAATTCAAGTGTGCTTTGAAACGAACTGCGTGCCTCTATAAAAAAATTAGCACTCGACAGGATTTCAGAGATCGAAGAGGCGAGCTCAGAATTCGAAGAGGCCAATTCAAAAATCGAAGAGGTGCTAGCTTTCTCAAAAGCTGGGTCTGCTCAGAAACCACGGGCGATCTTCCTTTCCAGACTTGTCCGCACTTGTCACATGCAACCTCTACACTCGACCAAGCTCAAAAATCGAAGAGGCAAGCTTAGAAATCGGAGAGGCATCTTGCTTTTCCAGACGCATCAGCACCCATCACACGCAAACTCAGCTTTGCGGAAATCACGGGTAATTTGTCGAAGCGCTGATCCCAGATATCGAAGAGGCGCCAGTCTTTGTCAGCTGCGTCAACACCTGTCACATGCACACTCAGCTTGGCAGAAATTACAGACAATTTGTCGAAGATTTCTTATAAAGAAGAAAGCACGTGAAGCCATACTGATCAATCACTCAATGGTTGCCGACACGAGTGAAAGAATAGTACCTCTACAGGTATTAAAAAACTTCCTATAACTGTCCACCTTCACCCTCCATAGCAAGGCAGACAAATAGAACCTTTCTTTATCTCCAAGAATGCCTTCCCAACGAAGCCTCTCGAGTAACTCAGTATTCCTTATTCCTTGGGGTACCTCTGCAAACAAATGACACCAAAGCAAAAGTATCTCATATCACCAGGGTTGAAAGCAAGAGTATCTCATATCATGCGTTCTCCCTGTCCTTTCCTTTGTCCTTGTTCTTACCTGCAAAGATAAGGATAAAGAAAGCAATATGCCGGAACCTCCACTCAAACTCGGGTAAGGAACCGACTGCTTGGAACCCTTCCTTGATTGCCTACCTAACACTGCTCTCGAGTACTCGTCTTCCACCGCTGCTGTATTTCCAAAGAAGCTGCCACATCTGCCTGGAGAACAGATAAGGCAAGTGAAAATGATACCTTGCAGCATGTGGAGACAACGTGCAGAAGGAACAAGCAGAGAAGAATGCGGCCTGCACAGTCAACTCAGCAGAAGGAATCCGAGTTGAGGAACTCAAGAAGCTGCCACATCTGCCTGAAGAAACAAGCAGAGAAGAATGCAACCTGCACAGTCAACTCAGCAGAAGGAGTCCGAACTGAGGAACTCGAGAAGATGCCACATTCTGCCAGAAGAATAGATAAGGGAAGGGAAAATAATACATTGAAGCATGTGGAGACAAGCACAACAAAGCACGTGCCGATTCATCTGCTACTTCTTCAGAAGCAAGAGTATCTCATATCATCAGGGTTGCAATCACTCTGGGTGGAGGACTTGTTTTGACCCTCAAATACTTGGGTAGACTCGCTAGGCGTTGTGGGCTGCACGTGCCGATTCACCACCCTTGAATCAAAACCTTAAAGAGCAAGTCACCAACTGGAAGAAAAGCCCATCAATTTTGAAGATCATACCGTTGACCAAACTGCTCAGGTATGAATTAGAAAGATTGAACAAAGCAACAAGTCGTCACCTTCACCTCGTGCCTGCTTGCCATGTGTTCGAGTTAACCTTCAAGAATCAAGCCTCAACGGCCCTTGAAAAAGCTTCCAGCCAAAGTTCAAGATCAAGCCTCGACGGCCGTTGAAGAAATCACAAGTACGATTCAAGATCAAGTGTCCATCACCCTTGAATCAAATCCAACTCCATATAAAAAGTAAGTTCAAACAATCGAAGGAAGCCAGAAAGTCCTCCAACCCAGTTCAAGATCAAAGCTGTAGAAAGTCAACAAGCACAACAAAATACGTGCCGATTCATCCACTACCAAAGCCAAATATCATCTACCACATGAAGCTCCTTGTGGTCCAATTTCAACCTTCAAAATCAAACCTCGATGGCCCTTGAAGAAATTTCAAACAAAGTTCAAGATCAAGCCTCAACAGCCCTTGAAGAAATCTCAAGCCCAATTCAAGATCAAGCCTCAACGGCCCTTGAAGAAATCTTCAGCCCAATTCAAGATCAAGCCTCGATGGCCCTTGGATCGACATCTACAATAAGGGACTTCAAAACGCATCTCCTACATGTGACAAGCACATGTATACGACGCGCCTTGAAGTGGGGGCATTTGTAGACATCGAAATTTCAGTAAATAAATGTTGACCGATAAATCAAAGTTTCAACGCTCATGTATTACATAAAATTTACACGTAGCGTATGTCTAAACAAAAATCGAAATAAGTTAGAAAAGTCATCAAATAGAACACGTGTTAACACCTGGCAGAAACGACTTATTTCATCTGGAATATTATATTCAAAATTAGGCCTTGGAAATTTCTATAAATAGAAGGCTAATTCATTCATTCAAGGGGACCAATTCACATGACACCTTGAAGCTCTGAAGCTCTGAAACTCCGAAGCTCTCAAGCATCCAGGTTCCCGAAGAATCAAGAAAGTGTTCTTCGTTCTTCGTTCATCGTTCATCGTTCTTCCAAGATCAAGCCCCGACGGCCCTTGAAGAAAGTGTTCTTCGTTCTTCGTTCATTGTTCTTCCAAGATCAAGCCCCAACGGCCCTTTGGATCAACAATCATCCACCAATTCAAGATCAAGCCCCGACGGCCCTTGAAGAAAGTGTTCTTCATTCATCGTTCATCATCCGTTCATCCTAAGATCAATCCCCAACGGCCCTTTGGATCAACAATATCAACAAATCCACACATCCAACCGTTCTTCAAGATTAAGCCCAAAAGCCCTTGAAGATCCGTTCATCCATCAACCTTCAAGATCAAGCCCAAAAGCCCTTGAAGATCCGTTCATCACCGTAATTTAAGATCAAGCCCAAAAGCCCTTGAAGATCCGTTCATCCATCAACCTTCAAGATCAAGCCCAAAAGCCCTTGAAGATCCGTTCATCACCGTAATTTAAGATCAAGCCCAAAAGCCCTTGAAGATCCGTTCATCGATCAACCTTCAAGATCAAGCCTAAAAGCCCTTGAAGATCCGTTCATCACCGTTATTCAAGATCAAGCCTCAACGACCCTTGAAGAAACGCTCATCCTCAAGATCAAGCCCCAAAAAGCCCTTGAAGATCCGTTCATCACCGTTATTCAAGATCAAGCCTCAACGACCCTTGAAGAAACGCTCATCCTCAAGATCAAGCCCCAACGGCTCCTGGATCAATCGCAC